CGCTCTTCTGTTGTTTTCCTCAACTAATAACATTTTTATCGTTGGTTAATCTAAAGGTTAAATCAGTGAGAACCGATACATTGTGACAAAACCTTATGAGTAATTTCAGGACGGTCACATTCCTAGGATCAACCAACCACTGAATGCCCGAAATCTACCGAGTCTCTCAGCTCCGTTAGATGTTGACCAGACAGACAACACCCCCTCAACATGCAGCGCGTCACAGCCTCGTATCAAAACCCAGACAGCGAGAGTCAGCGTTGATCAAGGTCAGACAACGCCCCCCGCAATATGCAGCGCGTCGCAGGCTCGTACCAAAGCCAGACCGTGTGCGTCAGCATTGGACCAAGTTCAGATAGTGTCCTTCCAATAAATAGCTTGAGACCGTTGTACTTTCTGCATTCACGCACTCGCTTGTTCGGAATATAGCGGTTGTGTTCCCTTCTGTGAGTCTGTTTTCGGCAACTAGGCACTGGAGCGGGTCGGCAACAGATACCTCAGATGGGCGAATTAGCAGATATAACACATTGTGACAAAACGTTTACCTTTGTTTCAGATCAGCATGACAGAACGGTTCTGTGCTAGCAGCGACGAATTTCTAGAGTTCACCCGTCACTCTTTTTGTACGGGTTCGAATCCGGGTGACGGTCTCATAGGCAGCAAAGTTTTCATGATCATCGTCATTGTCAGCTGTAACAACCGCCACTTGCTGCACAGTAGCTCTAGCTGTCACAGCTTCGTTTACCGATGATTTGGGGAGTGGGGAAGTAGCTGAAAATTGGAGGCGAGAGCTTGTATAACCGATGCTTAAACAATGCACTTTTACGTGGGGAAATTTGGAAGGTAGCTAGGTAATGAAGGCAATAGATTGGATGCGCGAACACCACTGAGGGCGCGACTAGGTCATATCTGACAATGTCTCTAGCTATTGACGTGGCCCGTCTCGAGGTCCCCATCCAGGAAGACGGCAATGACCAGCGCAGCTGAGTTTGCTGGTAATGACTTTCATAGTTCGCTGCCAAGTCCTGACCTCCCCTGGCTCGTTTCCACCCTTCCGTGGTTGTGCGAAAAGAACCCCCCGAGGAAGTCGGTCAACTGGTATGTTTCGAATAATACCGGAATGTTGAAATCTCCCGTGATGTGCACATGTGAATGCCCGCACGATAGAAAGTGTTTTCAAAGTCCGGTCTGCTTCTTGTGCGACAAAGTATGGGATCCCTGTTATAAGAGGATCATTCTTTGAAAGTATTGTCCAACTTTTTTTCAGAGTGCGAACAACTGTCTAGTGAACTGTCATTCAGTGTGATATTTCAACGGTCTACGCTTGTGCGAGTCAAATGAGATGGATATGAGCGCTAGCAGGGATTAGACGTTAACGGAGCCGTCAGACCTGCGATATGCAGAAGACAGTGTGGTCCGGTTGTTCTCGCGATGAAACTGCCAAGCGGTATGCAGCTAGCTATTTATAGTGAGAGCGCGCATTTACTGAACGGAAGGTCTGTGGTTCGAACTCGACCTCTGCCTCTCGACTTCCCCTGGCAGTATCTCAGGCCTCATACTTTCTCCGGATGGCATGGCAGCTAGACACCGAAAGGGGTGCTACAGCTGCTCGGTTTTCTTTGGCTATGCACTTTTACGTAGGCGGAGCTAACGTATGTAATGGATATGTATCATATATGCTAATTCGCTGCTCTGTTGTATCTGGCTGCTGACCCGCTCCAGCGCCTAGTGCCGAAAAAAGACTCACAGAAGGGAACACAACCGCTATATTCCGAACAAGCGAGTGCGAAAGTAAAGCGGTCTCAAGCTATTTATTGGACACTGTCTAACTTGGTCCAATGCTGACACACGGGGTCTGGCCTTGGTACGAGGCTGTGACGCGCTGCACATTTTGCGGGGGCGTTGTCTAACCTTGATCAACGCTGACTCGCGCTGTCTGGGTTTGATACAAGGCTGTGAAGCATTGCATATTGAGGGGGCGTCGTCTGTCTGGCCAACATCTAGCGGAACTGAGAGTCTCAGTAGATTTCGGGCACTCAGTGGTTGCTTTCAGGAAGCTGATCTTCCTGATATGTATGAAGCAATGCGTTCAGTTCGAGAGAAACGGGTTGCCACACCTGTTCTCACCCGTCATTCTGTAGGTGGCGAGGCGTGTTGATCAAAGCCCTACCCACTCACTCACCACCTGATACGGAGTGCTTACCGAGTGTCATATACACGCAACTTGAACCAGCCCAATAGGTTACGAGGGTTCACAAACTGCCGCACCGCTGTAGTTTTCAGCATCCGCGTGACGACTGTCCTAATATTTTCGACATTCATCGGGGAACAGTGTACCTAGTATCATGAGGACGTCCAAAACCCATAGAAAACGGTCGCTGTGAAAGGAATCCGCTGTACATTGTTTCCGAATTTCGGAAAACATTAGAAACCGCTTGCCAGCTGACATGATGCAACTCCTTATTGTGAAATTTTATGCTCCAACTGGCATGTCATTGGATGGCTTATTCTGTCTTGGTTCCGAAGCTTGCATTGATTATTTGCTGCTGTTCTCGCCGTGCACTGTGACGCTTTTCGCTACGTGAGCCGAGGAACCTGGTCAGGGATGCTTTTTGTTGGCAGAATGGCTAAGCTTTTCACCCCCAGAGTACTACCATTGTGACGGTGATGCTACTGATGGGGGAGGCATGCGAGTAGTATGTTTTCCTCTTGTAAATTCGCTTTGCGTCTCTTGAAATGGGATATCTATTGCGAAGTTTGTGGATTCGCTTTGTAGCATTTGCTTGGATTTGAGCAACCCTCTATGAATATCCAGGAACTTTCAGGAAGACGCGTTCAAGAGAAGATGAATGTTCAGTTTTTGTAAATAAGATGCAAATGAGTTTTGCTTCCCTGTCCAATAGTCTGTAACTGGTCAGTTGGTATTTGCTGGTAAATAACTCCGCAGCGAGGGCCTCCTTTCTTTTCACTGGTATTCATTTATGAGTGAAGTCGTCGGTTTGAAACTCCCTCTCAAGAT